GCGCGTGAAACCGGCCGGCTCCGGGGCCGGAGCGCGTTGCCCGCTGGCTGCAGGGCCGATGGGGCGCAGGAACTCATGTTCCTGATATCATCCCCCCTACTAGCATCCCGGCATATTTTCACGCCATTTTTCTCCTATAACAAAAACGCGAATAACTGCGCTGACAAATGACGGCTGAGGTAGTTTGCTCTCCATTTTATTATTGAGAATAGGAAACATTTTCTTTTTCATGCTCCGTCTCCATTTCACATAAACATTTCTCTCGCGGCCTGGGAAGGACGTTAGCTTTAGTCAGTTTTCTTGCTCTTTTATAGCAATGAGTGGCAAACGTGTGTAGCGCAGTTTTTTTAATGGGGTTATGGCTAGTTAGCGTGGCTGTAATTACAATTTATGAGTTTGACTACAGGGAAGCACTTGTAAATATGTCACAAGTCTCTCACCACGCCTGTTCAAATAACGTAACAGCATCAAAAGCAACTCTGCAAGTAAGCTGCTGGCCCCCATGGAGAAAGGGCTTTTGTTTTTTCTTGAAAGAAACAAACAGATATGGAAGGAAGAAGGCAAATATGAGCAGAGCCGCTGTAACCTCAGAAACTGCAGTGCGCAACGGGAGATTTTTCTGTTTAAGCATCCTACAGCCAGGATGTACCCAAAATGGTTAAGTGCCACCAAGAAGCAACAATCAAGCTGTCCTTCTCCCTTGCTTTTGAGGTGTAACCCCACCATATCACTGGTATTGCAGTGGGGGGACTTCGGCCCTTTAACCCTAATTCCCCTGCGGAGGCCATGGCAGTTCTGAGCTGTTTTTCGCAATAACCTTCCAAAGGCTTTTTTTTTTTTTTCTGCTGTAGTTAGTGAGGCTTTATAAATCAAAACCACCTTAAAGCTTGTATGTAGGAACTGAGCCGAACTTGATGAATAGCTTTAAAACTCAGCACGGCCTGAAAACAGGTTTTAAATCTAACGCGTGTTCATTAGGCAGCCGTAGCAGAGCGGCGGGGAAGCAGCACGGAGCCGCGTGGAGGACCACACAGCGGGAGAGCCATTGGAAATGCCCGTTCGCGCCTGTGCCAAGGGGGCTGGAGCCAGCACCAGGTGCGTGCTTTAAACAGACCTTGCAGGAATAGGCAAACCATTGTTTAAAGTCCCCCAAACTAATAGTGCTGAAGACTGAGTCTGTTCGCTGGCTTGGTCCCAATATGGCACACTCACAATTTATCGGGTGGCTGAGTAAGTGGATTTTACTGTAACTGATACAGTTTTTAAACTTCTAATAGCATGTAAAAGGAGTATGAAATGCACCAGTGGGAGCTGGTTTTTACTCCAGAGGGTGCGTGCAACTATTAGCGTGTTAAATGCCAACTCCCAGGGCATTACCTTGCTTCAGGTTGGCCCTTTTGTCAGCGACCTTCTTGGGAGTTTTAGCAGAGCTGATAAAAGGTGAATAAGGATCTAAGATTTGGCCTAGGCAACAGACTTTCTGCCTCTGGTGTTTTGGACTTCTGTGATATACCACTAACTAAGCTGCAGAGGATCTATATCGCCTACCGAAGGCAACCTGCACCGCTTCACTGACTGCAATGGATTCCAGACTGGACATTTTACAAGCATCGAAACCAATTGAAACCTTCATATAAAACTCAGATGTTTCTTTGTCAAGAAGAACGCTGGGGTCTTATTCTCATACCACACTTAGAAGCCAAGAATACCCTGGAAATCCCCCACGGAAACCTGCTGGAGCTGGGAATTTTGGATATGCAGGGTCTGGAGGTCAGAATGGACTGGCACGTGGTAGGTGATTCCTCATAGCCCCTGCACATGGGAAAAAGGAGGCACAAGCCTTTGCAATATCTTCTGCCAACAACGGCTTCCACTCCTTGTGCTGTCAAGTTGAGGCTGTCCAAAGCGTGTCTTATGGGCCTGCAACGTCTCCAGGGACTGGATGCACAAGCAATCTCTCTGGTTTCCGCTCTTGTGGATAACATTTCTGATACTTGGGAAATGCTTTCAACTTGGCTGCTCGTCAGACTGAAAGGTTGTAAGCTCCGTTCGGTCTGAAATTTTCCAGGGTACATTTCTTAGGCAAGCAGAACATGAAAGGGCTTCAGTGCTGGAACAAACTTCAGAGACAATCTGTTGCTAAAGGCAGAAGATATGTTTATTTTGTAGTTTCCCCGCTTACCCTCAGTTTTCTTTGGTACATTTGCTAGTAAGCCAGCTCAGCTTACTTGAGGAGACCAAATAGGACAAACAAAGCAGGCAGCACTGCATATCACTTGTTTCCCTTCTTATTAGAAAAGCTTTGTATTAACTTCATCACATCCCTCCACTTGCTGGAAAAAGCAACTGAGTTATTCCAGTAGTTTACTCGCTGCTAAAACTGCCTCTGGTTTTAGGAACAAAGATAGGATTGGGTGGTTGTGGTAGAAGAAGCGAATAGCCCCAGCCCATCCGCATGGCTTCGCCCTGCCCTCCGCCAGTGTTGCCTAGCGGCCACCCTGGCCCCAAACCAGCCTTTCTTTTGGGAGCTGGAGGCAATGCCATCACAGGCATGGCCTCATCAGCTGGAAAAGGCCAGGATCAGCCAGCAAAAGGGGTTGTCCCGCTTCTCATCTCCAGCCTTAGTAACGCTGCATGGGCAGAAGGTCTTCCTATAGGGGTTTCCTGGCATTTCTGCTGTTTTCGTTCTTCTCAAATGTACGCTTGCCACTTAGGGTTAGAAATGGCCTGGAAAACTATCAAACTGACTCACCAGCCATCTTCCTTGTCTAAGCGAACAAAGATCCTGGTGCCAAAATCTGCCTTGGAAGTATGAGTGGAGGGCTCTGCCTCTGTGCTTGCATGTGATACTTTATTATAGTGCTTTGCTGTGAAGACCTGTTTGATGACACCGGGAACCTCCACTCACCCATTAGGAGAGCCAATCCTACAGGTTCGGCATGGGGAAACACCGCCAGCACCTTTGGTTATGTAAGCCAGATTTCTGATCCTGAGACTCCCAAGGAAACCACAACCCTGCTCTGGTCCTGGATTCATCACTGCAGCAGCTTTGGAGAAAAAATCCTCAATGGCCTCTGTTGTAGTTCTTGCTGTTCCTCCTAGCTGTAACCACACGCGAGTCCAAAGGAAGCTCTGCTCAGGATGGCTCAAGTTTTATTCAAAGTGGTCAGGCCGTTCCTAATTGTATTCCAGACACGGGGCAAAACAAAACTCCTTTATTAGTGGAGTTAAGATTGAACATCACTAATGCAAGGGTAAAAATCCCCCAACATATTACAGGAATGTTCTAATTAACCCCAGACTGGTCTCTATAAACCCAGGAATTCAGAAAGAAGGCAGTGCTCTGTAATTAAACCAGTCTATCCCTTTCTGTGGGGTGCCAGGCAGGTAAAAGAGGCTGGGGTTTCTAAAATCTTTGTTCATAGAAAAAAAGTTTTAGACTTGCCAAGTAATTCATGCAGCCTTCCCCTAGGAGTGTAAGGGAGCTGGTGGCAGAAGAACCCAGATCTTCCTGGGGTGATTCAGCAAATAATTTAAACCTGTTTATTAACACATCCTACAGAAATAACCAGCTGTGGGAGACAGTGTTAAAACGTAACCAGCAAAGTTTGCAGGAGAAATTCGCAGGCGCTTGTCATTTAGGAGGATCAGCAAAGGCAGCTGATGATCAGCTTCTGTCTAGCTTTTTCCACTGGGATATCTATCTTCTGAACCAGATTTTTGGGCTGGATTCTCCCTGTTTGGCTGAGTTCTGCCTTCCTGCTTTGCTCTAATGGTGCTACTACAGCTGTCAGGTTCACACAGAACAGTGATTTTCCTGCCAAGTTGAAGAGCTCACTTTCTTAATTAAATCCCTTAATGCAGGTTGCTAAGTACACTACTCTCTATTAAAACAGACGTGAGTTTTTGGGAAGCAATTTCTTTTATCCTTTATTTGCATCTCTCTCAGCTTTCTGCCTCTCTCAGACCTTTGGCAATGACAAAACTAGCTAGTTTCATTGCTGCTTCCAGCCATATTCTAGGGAATGTCAACCTCAGTTGCTCAACTCGTTGTCTATGGTGGTGGTATTCGAGCGTTGCACGGGATGCAACCCAGCCCCAAGCCCACATGGCCTGAACTTCAGCTGTGGCTTCAGCAGAAGCAGGGCTGAACTGCCATGTGCTTTACCCACCCGTTGTCGAGGTGGTGATCTCAACCACAAGCTCTGGGACATGCTGGCTATCATAAGGATGGCATCAGTAGGCCTTTGATTTGACAAGGATCACTCTGGCAAAAGGATCGCTATCGAAAACCAGATGGCTTTTGCCCTGACACTCACATTCTTCCCCATAACCTGGGGTGGCTGCCAGAGACTTAACCCAATGAAATTTTGGTTTGGCTCAAGTTTGGCAGCTTCCACAATCTGTTATGAAAACCAGCCAGGACAACCTGCAGATTCGGTTCTCTGGGGTTTTCTTGCTTTCACCACAAATAGCAAATTTATGAGGTTTGGTTACTGACCCTGCCATCACGATGAAGAAGTCCAGGCGATTCCACGTATCTCCAAGGTAACACTTCTGCCCGAAGATCCCCAGAGCCACCATCTTGATGACCATCTCCACCGCAAAGAAAGCGAAAATGAAGTCGTCAAATGCCTGGAGATCAGTAAAAGATTATTACAGTCAGTTCTGCTGTGCTCTCTTATCAGGGAAAGGGAAAGCACAGACATGAGCGCTCCTCCTGCAAAGGCACTCTGTACATCCTGCTGACAGACTCTGCAAGGCAAAGTAGTAGTGCCCAAGTGCCATCTCCTGAAGTTAAAATAAAACCTGCAATACTTGCTGGGTGATGGCAATTCTTGAGTGCAGCTCCTGGGTTAGTTTATTGCTTGGGGGACATTGGCAGCATCTGTTAATCTACTGACAAAGATACATGGCCATAACTGTTGTAGGGGCTGGGATTATCTCGGCATTTAGAGCCAGAATTGCATTCAGCATCAGCTTGTGGTTGGCTCCTGGAGGGTCTCAGCAACCTGCAGTGGAAGCTGAGTCTCCAAGCTGAGGCAGCCCAAACCCACTAGAAGGAATCTGTCTCATCTAACATAGAGGCATCTGCTTCACCTCTGATGCTTTCACGGGCTCCAGGAGGGACTGGGTTCGTGTTCAGGCACCCAGACATAGCTGGGTGACTGTGCACATCAAGTACAGGTGGAAGCAATAGCTATAAAGGGCAGTTCTGCTGCAGGTGAGGAACGACTGCTGCAGTATCACATGGGGTGAAGGCTCAGCGCATCCCACTGGCCAAGTGCAGCATGCCTCATCACGAGGGTTAAGACCATGGTTTTTAAACTACGATGGGAACAAGAGAGGAAAATAAGGATGAGCAAATTAATCCAGTGCCGCCTTACAGAATATGCCTCAGCCTTTACTTGAAGGAACCACTTTGGCAGAGTAGCAGGGAGCCGGACAGCAGGGACGTGCAAGGGCTGACGGCTCCATCTGTCCTGGTGACCACATATACGTGCATGAAATGCGGAAGCATTTGAAGATGCCACAAAATGGTCTCTTTTGTAAATACTCTTGCGAAAGTTGCCTGTAAAATTGAGCATCAGGAGGTATAGATTGCTTTTAAATCACGCGCAAAGGCTTTGTTCTTTTGCATAACAGCCTCACTGAAGGACAGCAATTTCTTGATCCACAGACATGTTGCTGAACAGAACTATCTACTCGCTTAATGATCACACTGTTTGGTACTGTGTCTCTGACACTTTCATTTTGAGGCCAGAATGGATTAATGGCTAACTTAACAGAACATCCACATGGAAGCCAAGTTCCCATTGCGCGTCCATGTACCTCTGCGTGGTTGGGTGTGAGAATGATCTTGTCTAGCTGTTGGCTTTATCAAGCAACGTTCCCCTTGATAAACTCCACTGAAATTTTGCTCCATTATTTCAGTTCATTTAATAACTGGCATCTGAACGCCTCCATAAAGAAGTTCAGGTTTTTCTACCTCATGTTCTGGCTTCCGTTTCCTCCTGCAAGCTGTGACAGGGCGATGGATAAAGATGGTTTTACTTGTAGCCCTTTTCTGCCTGCAAACCCATTAGGATAACACTTTGGTTTTTACAAATATACTCAACATGTTGCAATTATTCAGCAATTATTAGAAACTAAATTCAGTGCCTGGGCTCCTTGCAGACTGTACACGTGTTTATTCCAGGGAGAACAGACCGCTGTGTGTTTTGCAAGCTGTGTGATTGCGACCTGATTAAACTACATTGTTATGAAAAAAAAGGAAGCAAATAACAAGCATTCATTAATGTCACCTTCTTGTCCAGGCAGGATTCCCTTTGTCTGTCTGGACGTTTTGGCAGGGACGAGGATCCTCCAAACAAAGTCCCACATGGGTGAGTATATGCAAATAAACTGCAGGCGCAAGGAGGGTAACCCTTCTATTTCGGGACAGATAAGACACTCTCTGACGGGCTTTCTGGGGGTGAGACCTCAGCTGCCTGCAGGGTGCAGCCTTCCTCGGAAGCAGCTGTACTAGCCACCTTTGGGTGCCACTTTGCGCCTGACTGCCAGTTCTGCGCCTGACCCTTTGGAGAAATTCCTACGCTGGATACCTCTCGTGCAATAGTTTCTCCAAACTTTATCTTATTCCTTAACAAACCCCTAAGTGGCTTCTCTGTTCATCTGGTTTACTTGGCTCCACATTTAACAGGTCCTCCTTTTGGACTGAAGGAGGTTTCCATGCCATTCCTGCATTTGCAGGCAAGTCTGGACCAAGCTTTGAAAGGGGCAGGAGAGGTTGGCTGGAAGCATCCCAATGGCCTTCCTTTAATGCTGAAAAGCTCAAAGGGAGGTAAAACAGCAGATATGTGAAGGATTCAAATGAACCAAGAGTGTTATACTGCCACGTGTCCCTGCCTTGCTTGATGTAATGCGTTAGAAAGACCGAATAGTTCGTTTCAAGCCTCAGAAATGAGTTGTTGCAGGAAGCCTCGCGCCAAGGTGCAGCCCACACACCAGATGCTGCCAGGCTGTGCTTCCAAAACGAACCCTGCGGGCATATGGCAGCGAGGGGATTGCCAGGACTCAGCGAGGGATGACAGGACAGACACGAAGCCCCACTAGGGCTGGGGTGGCCAGAGGCTGGCGCTTACGGTCTGGGAGGGAGTTTCATGTTGGCACGCATTTCCCAACGGTCAGTTATCCTGGTACTTGGCCATGTGACAGCTGAGGGACTCAGTTGTGGAGCACAGCAGGTGTGGACCCATCCCATGTTTTAGCCTCTTCTTCCAGAGAGGGCAAAGTCACCAGTGCCTGACTGCACAGACCACACCGCAGCAACCCAAGAGACGCCAGCAGTGACCTGGCTGGAGTGAAAGCTGCTGCGTGTGAGCAAAAGGTTCCCTGCAGCATCTTGTAATTAAAAAGTGCTCAACACCAGATGATGCCCAGTTCTGAGACTCCCACCCTTACCGGCTGTGTAGAGAAATGATCTTGCTGTGGTGAGTTCCAACCAGTCAGCCCTTGGGTTCCACATAAGGTTGCAGCAGCATGTCCCCGTCTCCCCTGAAGCCAGAAGACCAGGCCAGACTTGGCAGACTCATTGGCCGTCATTGTAAAAACCATCCCTATACAAAGGGTTTTCATGACAGGATCCTGGGGCAGAGGGACACAATGGTCCCAGCTCTTGGGACAGCCACCCGCCCCGCGCGCCGTTCAGCGATGCATGCCCAGGAAGTGTGGCAGGTCTGTGCTCTTACCTCCAGGATGGTGCACCGCTCCGACTGGCACTCCACATCCTCGCAGGGCTGGAACATGCCCAGGGTGACGCAGTTCAGGAGGATGACCAGCATGCTGACATGCTCGAACCAAGTGAGAGGAGGGCGTTAAGGAGAGCACACGCTTTGTCAGCCATCGCCAGGATGCAGGGGAAGGGGACGCCAAAGCTGAGACACTGCACGATTTACACAGCAAAAAGCCTTCACTCCTGGCACAAGCAACAAAGAAAACACCTCAAAATATCCCAGATTTACTAAGATTTGAAGTTTTTAGTAATTGATGGGAAAGGGCCTTGGAAAGGGTACTCCTATTGAGACGAAGGGACAAAGGATGCCTTTTTTATTTCCTACAGAGAAGCAAAGTTGGGGAAGTGCAACAAGGGACATTGCTGTGTTTTCCACCTGGAGGCCCCCGTGCTGTCATTCACTGCTGTATTTCATCTCCGCACAGGAGACGCCAAGAGCCCAAAAGTCTCTGTCCTTCCCCTGGGGCAACTTTCATCTCCAGATCTCAAAGATTTTTACCACTTAATCACCCACAATGTCCGCTAGCACTCACTCCTTCACTGCCATGATAAAGAAACCAAGACAAAGAAAGATGAATTGATTCAGGCACCATTACAAGTCACACCAGATCTCAGGTGGGCTCTCCAGGTCCTTCCTTGCTCCAGCCAGGAAGGTTGCCCTCCTGGTTTCCATCGCAAGTCAGAGAGTGGTTGCCAAATACAGCTTATCTCCTTCCTTGGTGTCTGAGTCTCAAGGAGCTAAGGAGGCCAGATAAGGCTCTACATCATGACCAGAGATATAAAAGCAAAATGAAGCCAAGCCAGCAGCACAAGCTAGTAGGGCCAAGGATGATGGCATGTTGGGATATGGGATGTAAATCACAGAGTGATGCCTGGGAATGAATAGTTCAGCTGGACCTGCTCCTTCTCAGAGCTGGCTCAGCAAACTCCAGGTTTCCTCTGGGATACAGGATTCACAGCACGGCTTTGAAAGCAAAGGGAAAGGTTCAAGGTTGGACATCTCCATTGTCACCAAAAAAAGACCCAATTCTCCTACAGGACCCACCAATGTACAGCTACAGTAACATTAAAAGTTTTGAAGTAGTAAGTGCTGATTCTCATCAGTGCAAAATAGGCTCAGAGCTTATGATTACTGCTGCTGGTATGACCATTAAAAGTAATAAAAAAAGATTTGGGGGAACTGAACAGGAGTTTCACAAATTAAGCATGAATGAGGGAACTGTTCTTAAGAAAATAATTAGAAACATCTGTGTATGAATAAACCTTTCTGCTTTTAAACACATATGAGTGTGTGTGTGAGCAAGGGACCATGGAGAAAGAATATAGACATTGTCTCATTTCTGATAATAAAAATTCTCCCACTTCAGAAAACCAAACAAAAATCCCACCATATTTACCCTTTCTTGTGGAAGGGAGAGGGCTCAATCTCACCGCCCAGGGCAGAAGGATGGCCAGGGAATGCCTCTGTCCTTCTCTGGGCTCCCAGCGGTCTAGTTTCAACTGAGCAGTTCCAGGAGTGACGGTTCCTCGTCCCTGGGCAGGAGGAGGAGGGGTCCACAGAGCACCTCTGTTTTGGCAGATGGCAGGTGGGTCTTACTTGCCGCCGAAGGCACTCCTTGCTGCTGCACCATGTGGTTCTCTGAGTTCCCGGCAGGTCACTTGAATCTTGATCCCTGAACTTTACTGCCATTCCTTTTAAATCTAAGGATAACCCCTTCCACTCACTCTGCAGGGAATGGCTGACTTTCTCCATCAGCTTTGACAAGAGGCACCCCGAGGCAGAGGTGCCCAGGCGGAAGGGAGATTTCACCAAATGGTCCCCAAACTTTTGGTTTTAGAGAGTGATTTAATTTGAAAATTCAGAACTAAGAATGCCTTGGAGTCCATGCGGGGGTCCAAACACATTGGACTTGCAAGCACACTTGTCTAAAATGGAAATGCTCTACAGAAATAAACAACTGAAAGAAATAAAAACCCAGGTCCCTCTGTTGGCGATGCAGAAGGAGCTGGGAGAGGCCAAGCCCCTGGCCGCAGACCCAGAGAACCTTTGCATTGCTGAAGCATCATCAGCCTCGATTTATTTTAATTTCTCCCTCTTTTCAATGACTTCTTTCTGATTTTTGACATGTGTAGGGGCTGTTTGGCTCCCCCTGCCTTTTGACTAATTAGAAGCAGAGTGGTAATCCTGTTTCGTAGAGAAAACAGACGGCAGCAGACCCAAACAAAGCCTAACCCACGGCCACATCCTACTTACAATATTTGCATTGCTTGATGGGTTTCATGTGGAGCTCCCTGCAAACACAGCTCCCGGGCTATTCCCAGGATGCCTGCAATTGCATTCATTTCACGTATCATAACTGGGCAATTTTTTCCCCTTAAAGTAAAAAAAAAAAAAAAAAAGCATGAGAGGTCAATCTCCAGCGAAGGAGAGCAGAGAGGAGCTCGGCCTTGGGCTGGCTTCATCCCCTGCTACACAGGAAGTTTCCAGGCCGGGGAAACCTTCGCAGCTTTTCTAACCTAGACTTTCCCCCATGGCAAGCATGAATAAGGCTTGAATCCCGTGATGACGTCTCTTCTCTGTCCTGCTGTCTGTGGACAGTGGCCAACACAAACGCACAGAGGTTGGTCCTCCTGCCCCCTTGCCTTGCCCCTGCCTGGCCTTGGGGGCAGAGCAGCTCTCAGCACAGCCAGGTCATAGTGACATCAGCTCAATTCTCTTAAACCTGCTGAAAGACCCCGATTTACCTCTCACTAGCATCTGCTCCAAGGAAAGGAACATGCTTCCTGCCTGCTAAGCATTTGCAAACTTCTGTACCCCTCTGTTTCAAGCTGAGATGATCAAGAATTAGGCCTTGGTTTCCACTAGAAAGCACTGATTTGTCAAAAGGGAGCCACTGATGTGGACCAGTTTGGACAGCAGTATTCTTTCAAGAGGGACTTTTTCAGTTTAAATATAGAGGAGCTCCAGATAGGCCGAGGCCTTGGGCATTGCTCAAGGGAGCCCTCAGGAATACGGAAAACACGGATGGGTGTCTGGGTTCCCCCACACCCTGGGCTCAAACCCCAGTTGCTGCGTTAGTGTGTGTTTGGTGCTCAGATCCTTCTCAACCTGATGCGGAATTGGAAGCATTTACAAAAATCTTTGGGAACAGAAAACCTGCCATCTAGATCCAGCATTTGCCCAGGATTTTTGATTTCAGTGCAGTGCCTGAAATCGAAGGATGAAGATGTTTGCAGGGTAAAAGCCCAGTTATGCTGAGACCTATGGGAATTTTACCAATAGCTTCAGTGGACATGAAACTTGGCCCATGAGATGCAGAGAGACTTTCTGCTTTTCAGAGGTCCTGGCTCCCCAAGGCGCCTTTTCCCTGGTGCTCTGCTCTCAGGAACTCTAAACACTTCTTTCATTCCTCCAAATGCTCTAAGTGCAGTTTTATAGTGATATGGTTAAATAATCACCTGCACTAAAAGAATTGTTACTAGAGCTGCCTCAGTTCCTCAGACAGACGCACTGTTGTCCCCTGTCCATCTTAGACCAAAGCTGAGTTTGGTGCCTTTCACTAAGACAGAAGAGCTGTTTTAATTTTCTAACAACAAAAAAGCAAAGCTCTGCCATAACTCCGTGGTAGAAGATGTTCAGGAGCCAGCAGCAAAGGTCAGAAACAGCTGAGAGATGGAAACGGCAAAACTGCAGCATTTAGAAAGAAAAAAGACCCCAAAAAACTTATGCCACCTTTGAAGAAAAGTCTGTAGCCAGCCTGAAAAGGCAAAAAAAAAATACGCTGGTGGGAGCAGTCCTGCTTTGGCAACAGAGCGGATGGGAGGACGGCGGAGGGACCCGCACCGTCAGGGCTCGGATCCTTCCCCGGGAGCACGGTCCTCTCCTGCCCCTTCTCCTGCCTCCCCGTGACCTTTCTTGATGCTCCGCGCCGGGGGTTTGCTACCACCGCACTAAGTGCCTGCCCTATTTCTTTTCACATCAGATTAATGGCAGTGATTAGTTCCCTAACTGGAAAGCAGGATTACCCGGCAAGCCCTGGCCTAGCAGCACTAATCCTCCGTCCCTCCGGTGCCCAGAAACGCCAGGCAGAAGCAATTCCAGTTCGTTCCCTTCCTGGCCGGGGGTGCCCCAAAAGCTGGGATTTACCCCATGGCCAGCTGGTTCCCTCAAGCGTCCCCGTGGCCCATGCAACGGTGCATGGAGATGCCCCACAGAAACGCTCCCCGGTGCCAGGAGCAGATGCTGCTTTGCAGGTGGGATTAGAAAAGCATCTTTTTGCAGCAGCCTCCCCACGCTGCAACCAAGCCAAGAGGGGCAAGTCCAATCCTAGGGGGGAAAAGGTGAAAAAAATCCCACCGATATCCACAGCCTCAGCTTGCCTCAGATTCATTAAAGGAGAAAGTAGCTCACTAATGAAATAGGTCGTTTATTTTTTTTTAGCCAAGCAGTTGCCGCAGCCAGCAGTGCCCATGCACGAGCGGCGCCTTTCAGCCGCGATTTTGGTGCCGGTCCAAGCGTACCTCGGCAGTCCGGACCCAGCCTGCAAAGCCTCCCTGCAGCCAAGGGGTCGAGGAGGGCCAAACCCTGCAATACCGAACTCGACCACCATGTCCTTCTGGAGTGGATGAGAGCTGTGGGCAAGCAGCATTCAACTTTAGGGGTTGCAAAAGAGCTGTGAGAGAGGAAAAAAGCAGGCTCTGGCAAAAAACTACCCTCCGAGCACAACGGTCCTAGGGGACATTAGTTTTTTTACCTACCGGCCAGCTAGAGCCGGCGTTTTGGGATTACCGCATGGGTACCCGCACGGGTTGCCAGCTCCCTCCATCATCAGCCCAAGAGCATTGCTGGGTTTGCATTGGATTTACCGGGCATCCTCCGGCCTCCGGGTCCTGCTGCGCGCGGCGCCTGCCGACCCGTTAACACCGTGACTGTGCAAAAACCGGCACATCTGAGTTACCATGGAAACCGCTGCTCCGGGAGGCCGCTCAACCACCACCCAACCGGGCGCCGGAGCAGGGGCGCGAAAGGAGACCGACGCAAAGGGCAGACGCGGGCAAAGCACCGGCGGGGACGATGGTTACAAAAGAGCTGCTTAATATTTCTGGCTTAGCCACAGA